TCGGTCGCTTCGCTCCCTCGCCATGATACTGCTCCCTCATGCCAAATTTTTCTAGAAAAACCCCTGATGGTTCTTCCTTGATGCCTGTCGTCCTGACTATTGTTAACAATTACGGGTATTGCTGGTTGACATGATCCCGTCCTTAGCTAGCACACGAGTACCACTCCAGGTCAGACCTTCATCTTCACAGTCAAGCTTAGAAAAATCAAAATATGGACGGATTTTGTCAGATTTGTCAGAAATTGGCTGAAATCTATATGTTGTAAATCCAGCCATTCTAATGTTAGCCTGTAGGCATTGCATCAAAAAATATTGAATAAAAGTGTATGTTACAGAATGAGTATTAAATTAAATTTGTTTTGCTTTCTTTTTCATTCAAGTGCCACTAACAGTAGTATAATTATAATATAATACATTTGTACAATTTGAAACTTTTGCATGCATTTCCTTGAGCTGCCAATAACAACACAGTACAGTAATACAATGTACTATATGCACAACACTGTCCAAAATTGTGGGCTGATTGGCTATGAATGAATGTTGCTCCCTCATGTGCCAGGCTGTTCCAAAAGGTATCAGCACCCAATTACGGCTATGGAAACTAATAGTTTGCCCTTGAATTTTACAGTCAAATTGCAACATTTGAGGGAACGTGTTATATTATACAAATCAAGCTACATATAGATTTAATTTGATGTTAAAGGCATTATTTAAAGGCATTACTTACAAAAAACTGACTGAATTTACACCATTTGGTCAACACTCAACGTAATTAATCAACTTGATATTAATAAATTTAAATGTCATAAAGTATTTGTGTGAACATTAATACCATCATATTATTCATAATATCAATCATAATATATATCATTTTAGGTTTGTTTTTTCAACAGTAAAAGTTTCCACATGTTAAAAGTTTCCATATTATCATATTATTAAGCAATTTTGTGAAGTCAGGCCCAAACTGGGTGAGTCTGTAGTACGTATTCTCCTGATATACATCAGGCAGGAGTTTTGGACTCCAGAGCACCTGGTGCAGGTGGAGGGCCCTGGGCAGCGCCGTGCACCTGTGGCACGTAGGTGGAGCTGTACACCTGCATGGGGACACCTGCTGCATGTGGCTGCTGGCTCCACTGACTCGTCACTCCTGTAGTGGCAGTGACTGGCACTCCTATAGAAGACAAAGAAAGAAAGTAATCTTGAACCAGTTTTAGCTCACTGTCACTGAAGAGCTAATCTCCCACTGGTCATAACAGAAGACAGATGCTTTGTACAGTATTTACAGGTTCATTGTATCGGAAATTCCCCTAGCTCTTTTTGACAAGCACCATGAACAGTGGACCACGTTTTACTATCCCGTCTTAAGGACTGTGACCCTTTCCAGTAGCATGCAACAACAGCCGGGATTCGAACTCCCAACCTCTTAGTTCATAGGAGGGTCCCTAACCACTGGACTATACACGCTAAGACAAGTGGTAACTTGTGATTATTTGGGGGGGGGGGGGCAACATTGGGTTGGTGGAAAAATCGATCCAGTCTGAAAGGCATAAAAAGTATTCTAGTCTTGTTGGAAGACACCAATCAAGTTGCACCCCCTTGCAGAATGTGGAAGAATTGCAAGCAGTCTGAGGTGTTCCTGTTCACTTCAAGATACCGATGCTTTTTGCTCAGAATAATTTATGGTGTACCACACACTCCCAGAATGGGCTTGAAGACCACAATAGCCAGGGCTCGGAGTACTTTTTTATATACCTGCACACATTGAAAATAACCTGCTCAAAAAAAAAATTACCCGCACCATTCACCATTTAGATTTAGTATGGATCTAAAAAACTGTTAAAAAACCATTGCCTTTTTCATATGTGGTAACAGTCCAACAAATAAGAATCTACATAAACGTACATGTATACTATCTATATATCTATATACATGTACATGTACACCAGGTCCTGCATGTATATGGCCAGGACACCAGTACAAAGTGTACAATGGACCAGTGCAGGTTAGGTGCAGGTAACGTTACACATCAGAAATACTAGCACAGCTCCAATTTTACCTGCACTAACCTGCATATGCCCAGTACATGGATCAGTACAGGTTAGGTGCAGGTAGACATCAGAAATACCTGCACAGCTCCAATTTTACCTGCACTAACCTGCATACACCCAGTACATGGACCAGTGCAGGTTAGGTGCTGAGTTATAGACAATCAGAAAAACCTGCATGTATGTTACGTAGAGCTCCAACTTTAATTGTACTAGGTGGTATTTTCAGCCCTGCTAGCAGATCACCTTTGACGGTATCAGGGCTCAAAATACTGGGTGCATGTGCACCTTAGTGCACTCAAAATTGGAGCTGTGAACCCATTTTTTTTTTCAAAAACTTTTTTGTGCACCCAATTTTTAGGTTGGGTGCACCAGTGCACCTATTCCCAAAAATGAATTTGGAGCCCTGCTGTATGGAGCCATGAAAACATCAGCAGGGTTTTTTCTAAACAGGGGAATAAGGGCGCTGCTCCCTCATGTAACCAGCCAGCTCCCTCATATTAATTTTCAGATCGAACCCTATGTGGCTACTAGTACTTACATACCATTTAGTCTTTCTCAAAATGATCTTTTTCCAGTAAAAATGTAAAAACAATCTAACAATACAATCTAGCACTCTTATTAAAAAATCCCCCCTCGGCCGCTTCATTCCTTGCCATGCTTGCGATCTGCTCCCTCATGCTAAATTTTTCCAGAAAAACCCCTGATCAGCGTTAGGCTGTACAGCGTACCTGTGTGCATGATGATGTAACCACCTTGACTGGCCTGCACAGCTGTACCTGGTGCAGCAGAGGTGTAGATCACCATCTGAAGAAGAGAGAGAAAAGAATTAATGGCCAGGCTCTTGTCTCTGCAACCATGATGATTTCATCTAGACTGAACAGTATAATTTTATGGACACAAAGAAAAGTGTGTGTGTGTGTGTCTGTGTGACCATGTGAGAGCTAATCTGAACTTGGTACATTCCATAACAAAGTCAATATTTTCAGTCAGATGTACTAGTTCACCTCGAATTTTCAGTCTCACTTTAATTCATCTGAGTGTCTGTTGCCTGTATGTCAGTGTGTGTGTTTATCCCTTTATGTGTGTGTCTGTGTGTTTTATGTGCAGGTGTGCATTCATGCGCATGTGTGTTTGTGTATGCATTTTGTGTTCCTGTCTTTTGTGTGCATGTGTGTTTGTATGCATTTTGTGTGCATGTGTGTGTGTGTTTGTGTGTGCATGTTCACGTGTGTGTGTGTTTGTGTGTGCATGTTCACGTGTGTGTGTGTTTGTGTGTGCATGTTCACGTGTGTGTGTGTTTGTGTGTGCATGTTCACGTGTGTGTGTGTTTGTGTGATCCACAGTGTAATTAATAAGGGATACACCCACCGGGCTGGTATTGGAGCTTGGGGTTGCCAGACCGCAGCAAGACATGATGGAAGCAACAAAACTCATCACCAACTCAGCCGCAGCCAGCAAGATGGCCACTCCATGGAGGGCTGTAGATTCTGTGGTACAATAATCTCTGCAAAACAATTCATTGGGTAGATGAAGGTGAGATGATCCTAGTAAACAATTTTCGAAGAAAAATCAAACTCTACTACTGGATAAATAACAGAGATAACTTTGATGTGGCATCTGTGTGGTGTAGTGGATAGAGCGTCCAACTGTCAAGCAATGCAAGAAGACCCAGGTTCAATCCCCAGGGTTGGACCCAGACATGCACTCAGACGTAACTTGTGCCCTTGAGAAAGGCACTTAACATGCATTTCCCCCCTCAGTTAGAGGGATTCTGGGCCCTACTGGGGTCTGGGTTGGCATTAGGAAGAGCATCCAGCCGTAAAAATCTTGCTTCAAAAAAAAGACTTGTACTTGGTGCAAGCACGTCTAACCCCCGGTTGGGGAAAAATGACGTTAAATTTGGTTTAAAAAAAAAACAACTTCCGGATGCTTCGAGTGACATTCGTCACTCTTTTTCAGCATCGCTAAATGACAGCTAAATGATATTTAGTGATGCTGAAGAAGAGTCCGGAAGGCATCTTCATTATTCATCCAATAGTAGAGGTTGATTTTTCCTCGAAAGTTGATTAGGTACAAAAGAATGAAATTTGACTGATTTTGAATGGTTAGGCAACACCAATTTAATTTGTTGCTTCTCAGATTTTTTCAGAAAAAATATGAAGTGACAGGGCAAAAAAAAAAAACAGGACCTGGTAAAGGCGCCCCATGATAGCCGGAAATGTTACAATATGAGCCATGAAGTGAACATACCAGGCTGGTTTATAATTAAAACAATAGATTTTGAACTTTTCATGAAACAAAATTGCATTGTTACATTGAAAAACTTAAACAACTAGGAAGAAAAGGATTTTCTTCAACCGTTTGGGCCAAAATATGTCTTTCATTGCGAATTTTGCAGTTGATTTAGAACCCAAAAAAATTTTTTTTTTTTTGCAAATCAGGACAAAAATGGACAGGGCGAATCTGAGAAACAACAAATTAAATTGGTGTGGCCTTAGGAATACTATCATAAAAGTATGTCACCTACAATGTATGAAGGGTTGGTAACAGTGCGAAAACACTTTGACTAATCATAAAGATGAACAACAAAAAGCAGTTACTCAAGCAACTGGATATGATTTTGAAAACGTCAGACGTTTCAGCTAGTATCCAGTAGTAGCTTTCGTCAGTGACTGAGAGACCAGAGGGGAAATGCAGGTTTATAAGCACAAACTATTGATTGATATGCAAATATGAAACATGAAGATGAACATAAAAGTACTCATCTGAATTCTGGAATATAAGATTATGCTTGCCTTATATATCTTCCTTGGTCGTCGTAAATGTACGTGTAACAATAGTTTCCATCCAGGATTATGCCAATCCCGGCCAGGCCGATACATGTTGCAGTGGACAGAATTGAGAAGATGGCGAGCACCAAGAACGCTGAAATCTGGGAAGACACAAAACATGGTTCAGCACCAACTGGTCATTGTTCAATTTCCTGCCACAAGAGTTATAATAAGTGGTTTATTGGTCAAACATTACCCATGCAATCACAGCTTTTTATAGCGCTGAATTGATGCAGGGTTTACAATCACATGATACATTTGCTCCAATTTTGTGGAACTTTCGCAAGGGTCTGTGCAGCTGCTATTTGGCGCCACAAGGTGACCTCAATACGACTTTCCCCAACCGAAGTTAGGTAACCATTCACACCTGGGTGGAGTGAGGAAAGTGTCAAGTGTCTTCCCCAAGGGCACAACGTCGGGGGCATGTCCAGACATGTCCCGGTTGCGACTTGGGATTGAACCCGGGTCTTGGCGTTTCATAGTCAAACGCTGTACCACTACCCCATCCGACGCCACAATGAATTTTTAAAATAATGTCAGAGCAATAAAATGATCATATTAAGGAATTGTTGATCTTACCAGACATTTGTTGTTGGCATGTTTTCCACTGAAAATTCCCAAGATTCCAGTCACCACCACCTATTGGGCAGGGATAAAATTTATTCTCCTCTTAAACACTTGAAAGGAGAAGGCAGCAAATGTCTGCCTTAGGCCACACCAATTTAATTTCTTGGTTAAAGGATTTTTCTAGAAAAATAATGGAGCAGGCAGGCAAAAAAATAAATAAATAAAAACAGGCCTAGGCATCCTATTATGGCCCAAAATGGTACGATAGGAGCCATGAAGTCAACACACCAGGCTGGTTCAAAATTTAAACAATGAATTTTGAACTTTAAATGATACCATTGCATTGAAAGATGGAATAAGGCCATGTTGATTTGATTATATGGATGACATCCTCCGGGAGCCCCAAAACTGATGCGCGCGTGCGAATAAAAAAAAAGTTTTGCAAAAAAAAAAAGTTCTTTTCATTATGAAATCTACGTGGTCATGAGGGTTAAGCAAATGGCACAGAGTATGGTTTGGCGAATAATCTAGTCTTCAAGTTCATTTCTTTACAATATCGTCTTTTTTCGTTTGATTTTGGCATTCTACGACATTGGTTTAGTTTTTATTAATTTTTTTTGTAACTTATGGTATATTTTTGCTCATTTTGCAACTGTTTTGTACGATTTACAGTATGGTTGAAAACTTTTTTTTTTTTGGAAACGGGCCGAAAATTCATGCGCGCGCGGATGTCATCCATATAATCAAATCAACATGGCCTAACTAACAACTAGGATGAAAAGGGACTGTTTTCAACTGTTCAGGGCAAAATATGAGCATTTTGCATGCGCAGTTGATACTGAATTTTTATTTTTATTTGCAAATCAGAAAAAAATGAAGCAGGCGAATCCGTTAACCAAGAAATTAAATTGTGTGGCCTTAAGTTGAGAATCAACATTCAGACACATATGATATTATTATGTATTGTAGAGGAGCAACTTTTGGATGCATATTTAGATGAAGGAATTTAGATGAAAAAATTTCAATTGTTTTTATTTACAGTTTTGGCTCAAAAATTTTACACAATCACTTAAACTGCAATCATTAGGCCACACCAATTTAATTTGTTGTTTCTCGGATTCGCCCTGTCCATTTTTTTTTCTGATTTACAAAAAAAACAGAGATTTTAGGTTCTGAATCAACTGCAAAATGCTCAATGAAAGACACATTTTGGCCCCAACGGTGCAAGAAAGTCCTTAAATTTCATCCTAGTTGTTAAAGTTTTTCAATGTAACAATACAAGTTCGTTTCATTAAAAGTTTAAAATCTATTGTTTTAATTGTAAACCAGCCTGGTATGTTGACTTCAGGGCTCATATCATAACATTTCCGGCCTTTATATATATTTTGCCCTGTCGCTTCATATTTTTTCTGAAAAAATCCGAGAAACAACAAATTGAATTGGTGTGGCCTTAGAACCTTATCAGAGTTATCAACCAAGAATTGAGGTATTCAAAAACTCGTATTTCACCAGAACTATCGTAGACTGGAACTCGTTGCCACCAAGCACAGTTGGGGCATCATCACTAGAAAGCTATAAACAACTCCTGCAATCAAATGTGCAAAGATTGAGTGTAACAAGTCATTTGGTGTGATATAGCTAGCTGCCGCTGCGCCGCGTGCCTGTGAAGCTGGTGTGTTACGCCAAAGGGCAGTTATACCGGCTTTACTGATACAGATAGAACAGGTCTCTGGCAAATGAGAATCTGGTACTCACGAACACGCCGCTCCATATGGGCCCGCTGCTGTAGTGGAAGAAGGTCAGAACCTGCATGGTGGAGAAGATGGCGTCGGCCACGCTGCCCAGCACGATACTGAGTGACCCCAGGATGACCAGCGCCCAGCCCAGGCCCTGGATGTACCTGCCATTGTACGCCATGTCTAACAGCAGTCAGGGATAGCAGACTTCACCTCTCTGGTGGACAGACAGAACAGTGACCCTGGCAGAAAGGAAAGAAAAAACCGGAGAATATAAAATATGGCGTTCATTAAGTTTCTTTACAAGAAGTAGGAATTAATTCTTTTGTTAGAGTTAAGATCTATCAGTAGCCTCCTTCGCAGACTTCTGAGGCAGCGGCAAAACCGTCTCTCACCAGCAAAGTCCCTCTGTGGAAAAATTAACGCCGCCGCCTCAGAAGTGACTGCAAAGGAGGCTAGCCTAACAGTAAGTAAATTCTATGGATGACATCGTCCGCAGATTCCAAATCTAATTCAATAGGGCGAAAAAAAGGTAAGCCAAAAAACAAGATTCCTTCATTTTCAAATTTTGACATCATAAACCTATAAAATTTGGAAGGACGGTGGATGGACTCTACAGTGTCTAGATCCCATATTAGTTTGTGGGCTGTGCAAGTGTAGGAAGACCATGCACAACATATGTACAACAACTATGCAAGGCTGCATGTTGCCAGTTTTTTTAACTTTTAAAAGAGAAATTTGATCGCACTAATCTCCAAGTCCATTTAGCAGATTCTGTGGAGCAAATATAAGGGGAGTCAGTGTATTTGCCGCCTGTATGTACAGCCAATGGTTGCAGGCCGGTGGCCAATATAGACTCTCCTTGCCCCACAGATCTGCTTAGAGATTATGGGTACCAGAGGAGGGAGGAGGGGAGGAAGAGAAAGTCATCATGTGGCGTAATGGCAGAGCATTCGGCTCAGAAGTATGAGGTCCCAGGGTTTGAGTCCTGCCAAGTCACCAACCTTGTGCCCTTGGGAAAGGCAGTCTTTACACCTGGCAGGTGAAAATGAGTATGCCAGAATGATCATTATCATTATTGTGGGCATTTAGGAAAAACCTTAACCGATGACTGTTACAGTATAACTTAATATTATCGAAGGAAAACATTGTTTTTGCTCAGTTTCCTCTTCACAAAATGACCTGAATCAGTATCAACATGGTAACTGGTGTTGGGTTACATCATGTTGCAATTTCATAGCAGGAGGGATTTAGACTTCTGTCACCATATATTCGGCCATATTTGAATGCGTTTAAGTAAGAATTAACAGAGCACTGACCATAGCATAAGCGATGGAAAACATTATGCATTTCCTTTCAAAATTGTTACCTTTCTACTTAAGTTCCAGTTACAAATGAAGTCCTACGTTTAACTTACCGTCTTGTTGATAGGTTTGTTCAACGGTCACGCAGAAAGAATATTAGAATCCACGAGCCGAGCCGCAGCTGAGTGCCGAGGAAGGAAAAACTTCCGGGTTGTCGGGTACATGACGCAACGGCTTAGTAGTGCTCCTTGCGGTTTTACCAAGAGGTGCAGGTCCATTCTTTTGCCCCCTATCCCGCACCTCGGGGGAAATATTTCTTGAGTATTAAAATATTGCAGTATGTATTCAGGTTTCCATGTTGATGCAGAAAGCTTTGTTATTATCAGGCTAAATAATATTAAATATATTAAATAAAATCTGAATCTGAGGCTAGGAAAGAAGGAAAGAAGTTTGTCATACAAATGATTTCTCTTTCAGCACCACGGAAAGATGCTGAAAGAAATCATTTGTAACTAACAGTATGAAAAAGAAATCATTTGTATGACAAACTTTTGTTATTCTTTTATTTACTTGTTATTGTAAACATGAATACAGGTGACCGTTGACTTCACAAGATGGTATGGGTATTGTCATGTTAGTCCCAAGTTTCTTACCTAACACAGTGTGAGTTCTTTCTTTCTTCTTTTCCCCCTCCGATCCTTTCCCACCTTCTTCTTTTACCCCCCGCCAAGCAGTCCTTCGGTATCTCCCTTTTCATTGGATATGTCGTAGGCCGTTACATGTATTTAATGAGTGGTGCCAAAAATAATAATAACTAGAGTTCCACGATCTCATACCTTCGCCAAATGTGTTCTTTATGACTGACAAAGTAAAGATTATTCCTCCTGATTATGCAAATAGGATCCTCATTTGCATGAATCAGTTGATCATATTTTCCACCAAAAGACAGCCGTATCTTAACAAAGAAAGCCATTCTATAATTTTCTCATAAATTATGTAAATGAGGTTTTTATTACCTCCATGAAAATTGAGGTATTGTTTTTGGCGCGTCTGTGTGTGTGTGTGTGTGTGTGTGTGTGTGTGTCTGTGTGTGTGTGTGTGTTTCCGCACATTTGTAGTCAGCATAACTTCATAACGCCTATATGGATTGTGATGATATTTGGTATGCTGGTAAGTCTTAGGACGCCGAAGGTCAAGGTTAAACATAAACCTCCAGGTGGATGACCTTGGTACTGCAGCAGAACTTCCGGTTTTTGTATCTTTTGTCCTGGACATGGTATTGTCTTGACATTTTTGTGACAGATAGCTTTTCTTATCAGAAATAAGTGGTGTGGGTTTGGTCCCCCTAGCAGCTTGTTCTGGAACTGCAGGGCACTTTCTGGCGAAATCTTTAAAAGCCAATAAGTCCAGAGTGTAGGTAGCTGAGAGATAATTGAATGCAAATTATGCAAATGAGGACTTAATTTGCATAATTAATGAGGAAATTCTATAATTAGTGTTTTATATAATAGGACTTTTATACATGTAATCTATTTAATATGTGGCAGGCGGAACACCAACAGATACCAATTATGCAAATGGTGACCTAATGTGGAAATTCTGTGACTCCTTATTGGTGAATGATGGGACTTTTATACCTTGTGACATGTGTAAGTTACTTAAAGGTTAACACCACTATGCATATATTATGTTAATGTGGAAGTCATTTGCATAATTAATGAGGACATGTTGAAAGGAAGTATGACAAAGAAAAGGAATTTTACACGAAAAATATTGTCATTTGAATTTAGAAAATCATAAATTAAACTAGATTATGCTGATTACGACCTTATTTCCATAGTCAATGAGACAAAAAAAACATTTACAAATCTTATATATTTTATGGAGGTGTGAGATCTTCGAATTCTTGTTTGAATAAGTTATGTTTAATAATGTTCGTCTTCACTTAAAAGTATGACATTCCAGGCGGTTTCCATTATGGCAGTATAACATTTTCTCATTAATCATGCAAATTAAGTGTTAATTTACATAATCAATATCTGCATGTGTTTCGTTCTCAGTTACATTTGTCACAATCTTGAATAGTGCTATAATGCAATGCAGCTGATTTATAGAATTTCCTCATAAATTATGCAAATTACATCCAGATTTGCATAATTGTCGGCGATCAAGAAATACGGCCGAAGAAGGTCTACCGCGCGACGCCGACTGATCCACCCGCATAACTTCGAACAGGTAGGCTGGTGTTCCGGCCCGTCCGTGCCGACCATGCCCCAAACCATTTCAGAACCATTCCCCGAACCAGCCCCAAATGCTGGCCAACCTACTTCCAACCATCCCGACCACTAGCCGAAGACTGTCGAATCCGACAACCATTTTCCAACTCTGTCCCGAATGAAAATTTGCAGAACCAGTCAACTTGAGACTATATTTCGTTCAAAGCATTCAGGACTGTGTAAAGTAAAGGTGTATTGTGTTAAAACCAACTGTAATGCTGTCATCTATTGAAATAAGAGATTAAAGGAATTCAATACATTTTTGAGGTTGAGTGATATTTGTGGCTTCACCACTATAGTTTTTTTCTCACGTTTCTTCTTCTCCTCCTGCCATTTCTTTACATTGATTCAACTCCTTCATTTTTGGGCCAAATAACATGAAATTTGGCATGAAGGTAGAGTGGGCAAATACCCCCAGTTTGTTTATTTTTATTTTTTCGATACAGGCATTTAAAACTATTTTTATATTTCAGTCCATACCATGGTATGGATGAAATATATTGTGTTCCCTCATGTTTCTTCTTCTCCTCCTTCTCCTCCTCCTCCTCCTGCCACACAGTCAAAGGGATTCAACTCTGTCATTTTTTAGTCAAATGACCTGAAATTTGGCAAGGAGGTAGAGTGGGCCATGCCAATACCCCTAGGCGTTTTTTTTTCATTTTTTTTATACATGCCTTTGAACAATTTTTATGAAGGTTTTTTGGGGCATTTTTCGGCAAAAAAAGGATTTTTCGATCCTGAGCGCTGGTTTTACAACCAAATGATCTGAAATTCGGTATAAGGGTACGTTGAACATGTGTCTACAGAATAGCAGTCACATGTTTGGCATACACCACTTCCAAATGACTCATTTAGGGGACTTAAGTGGCTATTTCAGGCCAAAAAAGGGCCAAAAGTGCTATACCCGTTCCACGTTCGATCTAAAGAAGTTCTATCTGCCGTTGGCCATCGAACACATCGAACATTGCGGGTTACCTGAGGTCACGTTGCACGTAAGTCGTGCGCAATGACCCACACATTCAATTTTACGTAACGTTACCTAGATTTTTACGTCATCTACAATCACGACGAGGGAATATGCAGACCACCCTAATCCTGGGTACCGCAAAGTGTTTCGGAAGGGGTAAGAATATGTGTAAGAAAATGTTCGTCACTCCCGGCGCGGCGCAAGAACTCGTGACATGCCGACTAAATGGTTCGCCAGCTGAGGACTTTCCACAACCATGATGATATTATACTTATAATATTATAAAGGAATATGTTATACATCAATCATGTTCAAATGATAATTGTAATACATGGTTCTATTTAATAGCTGTAGTTTTGTTTCTTATTTTGACGGGGGAAACTGTCAAAAATCGAGGGAACGCAAACCGATATCGGCGCACTTCCGGGTGCATAACGTCAAAATTTCTCGACGATTGTGTAAAAATGACCACTCATCTGCCGCCTCCGGTAGCGTGTACATGGTAGTGCGATCATATCGTGCCAAAGGTAGCGTCAAACGTCAGAAAAGCCCCGTAAAAATATACATGTAGTTGCAAAACACATTTCCAGCCGCGCTCAGCAGAGCTTCGCTGTTACAAACAGCACGGACCCTGCATGCTTCATTAACATATGCAAGTAGCAACGCACTGCTACGCTCTGATTG